GATCTAATGATCACTCTGTGTTGTATCTACCCAAACTGCGCCACCACTGCCAACTACACAACAAACAGCAACTACAATTCTGTTGTCATTAAGTAGTAGATTGTGTTCACAAGATTTCGGTTCAACGACAGGAACTTCTTGTCAGAGTTTTGGAGAGACAAGGTTTTGGCATTTTCACAAAGGAAGTAACAGGAGAACGGAGGAAATGTTGAATTCAATCAATAATGCTATGATTTTCTTTAGTTTAAAGTTCGGCATTGGTAGGAACGTACTAACATGACGTGCATGTACAAAAATTTCGTATTCGTACAAGTATGAGCATGAAGATAGAAATAGTAAGTAAGGGGTATACATCGAGTGAAACGTTTTAGGACTTTAGTCCTAACATCTTCAATTGTCGGAGAGCAATAATAATACTAATAATTGTACATCAACAGCAGCAATAAGTAGATATACAGTTCCAACAAATTGTCAAGAGACAATGCGACGTGTTCCTATGAAGGCAGAATGTCGAAACATGTCTTGTGACTTTTGTACTTATACAGTGGCTTTGCGATTAGCACATGCTGGCATTAATGATAGATGTCAGTGTATAAGCTAAAACAGACCCAAAATATGCCAGAATCCAGCCGGTTTCTTCCCACTCACTGTGAAAGACTTCAACACATCCCCTTCGACTGTGGTGTTGTCTCGAACGGCTGGTCTTTCTGTGAGGTTATGTGTACCTTCTAAAACGGTATCCCAGGAGTGGTTTGGGATTGAGGGTTAGGGTATCAACCCAGAAACAACGGGGACAACAACAACAAGAACAACAGCGCCGCCACAAGTCGCAGGGGGGAGGACACAATTATTTCGCTTTTTAAGTCAGTTGCGGGGCAACCCAAAATCAGAATAAAAAACAAGAACATCTAAGCCGCGGTCGGTCAGACCTGTGTTTCAGTAATTATTATCTTTTTTCCGAAGGGAGGGCGGAGTCAGAAACGAAGGGGATGCTGCAAGACCACACGTTCTCGATGCGCTTTCGCATGGAGTACGATNATTATCTTTTTTCCGAAGGGAGGGCGGAGTCAGAAACGAAGGGGATGCTGCAAGACCACACGTTCTCGATGCGCTTTCGCATGGAGTACGATTACTTCAGGGTTCTAGTAGATCACCTGCGACCTGCCCTGCAGAAGAACGGAAGATGGGGCTGCTGCGCAACGGCGCCATCCCGGTGGAGTACCAGGTCGCGATGACGTTGCGATGGCTCGCGGGGGGGTCCATCTACGAGTGCATGGACGGCCATGTCATCGCGAGGAGTACGGCATACCACGTAACGTCGACCGTGATCAACGCCCTGAATGCCTGTCCGGAGTTGAACTGCAAGTGGCCAGAGGGTGAAGATGCTGCCGGAGCCGCCGAGCTTTTCCGCAACCGCAGCTCTTATGGATGTCGTCCGGAAGTGCGTGGGAGCCATGGATGGCTTGTTTGTCCGGATGATCAAGCCGAGCGCGAAGGAGGTCGCAGAGCCCAACTTATGTTACAACGGGCACAAGAAAGGCTTCGGCATGAACTTCCAGGTGTGTATGTGATGAACTTCCAGGTGTGTATGTCCAGATACATGTGTAGATTGTTTCCTTGGTCGGCGGCCTATCCTGATGCCAGGNTATGTTACAACGGGCACAAGAAAGGCTTCGGCATGAACTTCCAGGTGTGTATGTGATGAACTTCCAGGTGTGTATGTCCAGATACATGTGTAGATTGTTTCCTTGGTCGGCGGCCTATCCTGATGCCAGGTGCGTTTTGCCTGCAAAGCAGCGACGGACGTACATGTGCTGGGGGGGTAACATCGGTTCAGTACAGCAGTATTCATACATACCTCCGGGTGCGGTTGTGCACGATAGCTCGAACGAAGCTTCCAAGTGTATTTTTCCACTCCCCAACGCACAGGATTCATCAAAGGGTGCGCACTTTGTAGGTAGCAGTGTTGTGAGGCGCGTCATGGGCGCATATTTTTGTGCGCAGGCTGGAATGGGCCTCATTGCTACTACTACTACTACTGCTGTTATGTAAAGTTCGTGCAGGCGCGTGCATGCCGTTCTCCGAACAGAGCGGGCACGTGCATGTGGCGTCCTCCTTGGATGGTTCTCTTCGAAAAAATCGCCTTTGGTTGAGTGTTATTTCACATACATGCTCATGCACACGTTGTCCTTCTACTTAAGGCGGTATGCGCCGCCCAGTATCGCATCATGGCCTGGACGATGAAATGCCCAGGCAGCCAAAACGACCGCACCGCGTTCAACTTTTCGGGGTTCGACAAGCTCTTGGCGGGCTTGCCCGAAGGCCACGCAGTCGTGGGCGACGCCGCCTATGGGGCGTCCAAGCGCGTCGTCGTCCCGTTCCCGGGGACAACCTCTCCGCAAGCCAAGACGCGTGCAACTACTACGTGTCTCAGTGCCGGATGGCAATCGAGCAGACCTACGGCATTCTGCTGAGCGTTGTGGGCACGGCAAAAGTTGTGGGCGAGTCCGCGCATGCACTTGGGTGAGTTGGCGTCCTGATGTTGGAGGCAACTCGTGGTAAAGATCCTCGCGATGGGGGAGTGCGTGATGTCTGGTGTGATGTTGTCACAGAGCGCGGCGCATCCGTGCCATCTTTTCAATTTCACGCGGGCAATGCATATTCATGTTAGAAGGGAGCAATCGGTGAAGTGCATATGGACCCTACAGCAGTACTACATGTGGTGTGTTTTTTGTTGTACCCCTTGTGTGCATATTGTTTTGGGTCTGACCCTCCTTCCTTCGCGCGGCGCTAGGCGGCTAGGGAGAGACTGGAATCAAGTAGGACAGGTGCACACGTGCATTGCTGCTGGGATAGTTGAACCGGGAGGGAGGGGGACAAGGAGGCAGGCCGCCTGAATTTTGAGTTTGGGCTCTGAGTTTGCCAAGATGGTAAGTTTTTCTCCTTTGGTCTTGGTTTGCAATGACGGCCTACAGGTCAGGAGATGGGGCATCCTCTGGCGCCCCATGGAGGTTCGCATCGAGAAGTTCGAGCACGTGGTGAACGCCGTCGTTCGCCTGCACAACTTCCGTCGGAGTCGAAAGGTGGACGTCCCCACGGAGAACACGGGGTCTGCGATTCCTCCGCCCGAGGTCGCTTTTGACCACGACGGCCTCATCAGCAGCGACTACTTCGACACCATTCCAGTGCGTACCGGACCCCCGGTGAAGGACCAGGCTAAGGCGTCGAAGCCGAGGGAGGCCATCCGCAANGCTGCAGGCGTAGATGGCGCAGCAGGACTCGATGACGGTGGGGGCGCGGCTGCGGCGCTCGATGATGCCACAGCCGCCTCGTCGCTGCTCTGCTCAGCCCGTGCCACTCGCGCTTCAGCAGCATCCAACAACTTGTGATATTTCTCCCGCAAAAAGTTCGATGATGCAGAATCGACCTTTGCTTGGAGCCTCTGACCATCGTCGATGAATCCCTCCATGGCAAGATCCTTCGCTTGGTCCTTCTCTATATCACGGAAAGCAGATTCGTCTTCCCGTACTTCCTGCTCCGCTGCTTTGCGCCACAAGGCGATCACTTCCTTNCAGCATCCAACAACTTGTGATATTTCTCCCGCAAAAAGTTCGATGATGCAGAATCGACCTTTGCTTGGAGCCTCTGACCATCGTCGATGAATCCCTCCATGGCAAGATCCTTCGCTTGGTCCTTCTCTATATCACGGAAAGCAGATTCGTCTTCCCGTACTTCCTGCTCCGCTGCTTTGCGCCACAAGGCGATCACTTCCTTCGTGTCGGCTACCAGCTCCGCCCTGTCATCGGAATCCGTCTTGGGTTTCTTGTGCTTCCGAGAGTTGTTGCCAGAGGAACGGGCGGGTGGCGCCTCACCTCTCCCTCGGACCCCGGATCCACCCGGCACGCTGCTGCCTGAGCCTGGGTGTCCATCGGGGAGGACGATATCGCTAGGCCGGTATGTCTCGTCGTCGCCTCCGCCGGAGAGTTCGATACCGTCCTCCTAGAGCATTGTCGGTAAAGAGCCCCGCATAAACTGGAACGGATGACGGGCGTTGACGAATCCCCCGTCCTGAGTTGCGTCCACACCGGCCCCACCACTTCTTTGCTCGTTCTCCTTGAATTTCTGATGTGCCAAGGAGAAAGCGAAGAAACGGTCCACGTTCGTCGGGAATGGGATGGGAACAAAGCCGCGAATCTTGAGTGGTGAAATCTGATGTCGCTAGCAAAACTTTCTGCACTCCACGTGGTACTTGTGTTGGGGCGTCAACGGAAAAAGGGAACGACATACACACAATGGCGCAAGGCAGGACGGAAAAAAAACGTGTTTCTCCCAAAAAAACTTGGGGGAGAAGCGCACCCCACGATGATACTGTAGGTTGAGGTCGCGAGGGCCCACAGCTTAAACCCAACACAAGAAGAAACACACACACACAACGAACGACGCCATCACGGGACTATAAAGGCATCTACAGTGATGGTTACATCGACCTTACACCTCGCCAAATTTCTAGCTTGACCGTTGATGCACGCACAGATATACCAAGACGAGCACAGCAGACCGACAAAGTACGAAGACGTCCTGCATCCTGTGTAGCCACGGCAGGACAACGCTGCCACCTGCAGAATGAAAACTAGAACACCGCTACACCCACCGTGCGCTTGCCAACCGTTCGAAAACAACAGATGGTCGATTTCATCATGTCCATCACTCATGCAAAACAAAACACGCTGCTCCCGCCACTATCACCACCACCCACGCAAGCAACATCAAAACTCCCGCGGCAGCAGCAGCCGCGCCATGAACAACACCAGAAGCGTTTGGAGGACATCGATAACCTGTTTTGTTCCCATCCTTTCTAAGAGTCGACGGGCATATTGATTGACTTTCCTACGAGAGGTCGACTTCCAACGATGCGCCATGTGGAAACTGGTTGTGGGTACAGGCGGAGTCTCGTGGCCGTGGACGATAAGAGGGAAAAAAATACCGTGTCGCGTTATGTATTGATCCAATGATTGATCATATATTTTTTTATCGCGTCACGGAACAACTGTACAGGGGGAACACGCACACCCCGATCCCAACGATAGCGCCTGCCGTACCCGCGCGTAACCCTACCCCCCCCACAAATAAGACGGCGTGAGCTGGGGTTCCCGGCTAGCGGCAAGCGTTTCTTGCCGCTGCTGTCCTCTGTCTAGCTACAGGTACTCTGGTCTCCTGCTCTCACCTGCCCTGAAAGTACATCCAGTACGCCATCATCCACCCGCGTCTGGAGAACACCCATCGCCATCCTCTCCACCCACTTCTACAAGCATGGGATCCTCCCCTTTTCGATCCTCCTGCACGATACCACAAAAGCAACCGTGGTCGCGTCGNTGTCTAGCTACAGGTACTCTGGTCTCCTGCTCTCACCTGCCCTGAAAGTACATCCAGTACGCCATCATCCACCCGCGTCTGGAGAACACCCATCGCCATCCTCTCCACCCACTTCTACAAGCATGGGATCCTCCCCTTTTCGATCCTCCTGCACGATACCACAAAAGCAACCGTGGTCGCGTCGGCGCAAGACGAGAGGTGCGTTGGTACAATTGCGGAGTTACTAGACTAGACGCAAGTACGTGTTGCCGCGCCAAAATAACAAAGAACCAAGACAAAGCATGCGTTCATGAACATCAAACCTACAGCAGCAGCACTTGTATTCTATGCCAGGTCCAGGAGTTCAATAAAAATGTGATCTGGAGAGTCTAGCAAACGCAAACCTTGGTTTGTATCTGTACAGCCTTGTGTAGCACTGTTGTTGTTGGTCCTCCTCGTAAACCAGCACAACTTGCGTGTGGGGCACTGATACGGAGCGATAGCACCCCCAAAGAACTGCCCACCTGCACCATGTGGCCACCAAGCTACGCACTAGAGCAAGCATTCTCGAATGGAGTGCTGCTTGCTGCTGCTGCTGCTGCTGCTGCTGCTGCTGCCGTGTAGACGGACGATGTCCTGCTCTGTACTCTACTAAAGTAATTCTGTAGACTACTGGTAGCTCTGAAGGACCATCTCGCGGACCGATGCCAAAAAAAACAAAAACAAGCTTTGAAACAGCAGCGTACCTCGGTGTTGCCACCTTCTTCGCCGACCTCAGAAGGGTGCTGCCACGTAGGTTGTCGATCGCTCCCACAAGCCGTGAAGGCCTGAGACAAAGCGCGCCCGCCCATCAGACTGCGGGTAGCCCAAGACAAACCGACTGCCTGCTGCTGCCGTTGGTCGTCCACATCAACAGGAGAGCTGTCTGAATCTTCCCCATGTTGATCATCATCACAACCAGCCTCCGACCGATAGTGAGCGGCTCGCGCTAAGCCCGCGTCGAAGCGGTCAACGTCCGCGACACCAACGCTCCGCTTGCTGCCGTTCTCAGCAGCTGCCTCGCCTTCTGCGGGCGGCAGCAGCCTCGCCCCCGTCTGGGATCCAGAAAGCAGGCCGACGCGCTGGCTCCTTCCCGTTGCGCAATTTTCGGCCCAGGCCGTCTCCAGCATGTCATCTGCCATGCTATGCGTGCTCGCCGTATTTGATCATGTGTGTCTCGACAGTCGGAGAGAGAGCAACTAGCGCTGTGTGGTTGCCAGCCAAGTAGGTGGAGCGTTGCCGAAGCCTTCCATGCGTTGAGACTCCAAAACAGATTTTCAAGACACGGACAAGAAACGTCCTTGGGGACTTTCGCCGCGATACAGATTGTTCGGTGATTCAAAATCGCCGTTTACCGGCTTCCGGGCCTCTTGACCAATCAGAGCCCAATTTTGATTTTTCATTTTCTGGAAACAGATTTTTCCGATTCCGTAAGGCGAAAGATTGACTGACGAAGTAAGGGAAATCTGCGTTTTGTGAGAAGCGGCAGAAAAAACCTTTGGCCAATCAGAAAGCAGGAAGCGGACGAGCGTGTTGGTTTCTGTTTCCAGTCTACTCGCTGCGCCGTGTTTACCGGGGGCGAACGAGAACACGTGTGCGTGTGGTGGCCAAGGAAGGGTGGTTTTCTGCCGTGACGTTTTTTTTTTTGGGGGGGTCTCGAAACGTTTTCCGCAATTTGACAACCTCCTCCGCGTGTTGTGTCCTGGCGCGCCGGTCGATGTCGCGCCGGGGGGGTGTTTCGACGCCGAATTCAAATACGGCAACCATTCCAGCATTTTACCATACATACACTCCGCAGATCATTGACAAGATCGTTTCGGATGTTACGTTAGGTCGTGCTCTCGTCTTCGACGTGCAGTTCATCCGTGAAAGTTTGGGTGTGCGTGTTTCCCCCCTTGGGGTGGTGGACGATCCGAAATTCCGCATCATTCATGATCGCACATTCACAGCGGCTGGTGCGTAGTCTAGCGTCAATGCAGATACAGATTTTGATCGCCCCCCCGAGTGTCTGTTGGGACATGTACTTTTCGATATCTTGTCGCGCGTCCTCTTTTTGCGCCAATTGCACGGGCCGACTCTCGAGATTTTGCTCTGCCGTGTTGACGTGCGTGAGGCTTTTCGCCAAGTGTTGAGTCGATCCTTCGAGGGCGTCGGTATTCGGATACACGATGGGGGACGTGGTCGTCATCGACCTTCGTTGCCAGTTTGGTTGGCGTTCCAGCCCAGGTTTTTGGTCGCTGTTTGGTTCCGCTCTTGAGCATGCACACACCCACACTACTTTTCAGACAGCTTCTGTGTTGCCTGCCGGAGTTGCGGCGGTTGATCATGTTCAGCTTGTTCCTCCCCAAAACCTCCCCGTATCGTTACCGCGTGATTGTGCCCAAATTTCTAAGGAGGGCAGTTTCGCTGGTTCCGCGTTTGTTTTTCGTTCGGTATTATGTGGATGACGGTGTGCTTGTCGAGGCGCGATTTTTCACGGATGGTCGTCGTTGCCTACGTGCAGTGCAGTCGATCGCGTTGGACCATTTCCGTCTGCTGGGACACCGGGGGCCAAACAATCCTCCGTTGTTGTCTGCAAAGATAATCACCGATTTTTCGACGCGTTTGGAGGTGTTGGGATGGATTTTTGACACGAAAACTCTCAGAGTGACCATGCCTCTGCGAAAACAACAGAAATTACACCGTTTGTTGGGCGAGTGGCCGCGGTCGCGTCGGTGTGCGACCGCCCGTCACGTCGCGGAAATGACCGGTTTTCTTCTTCACGTGTCTTTTGCCTTGCGTCCAGGCAAATTTTTCGTCGGCTGTCTGTTGGCTGACGTCGGCATGCCGCAGTCCGAGGTGTTCCCTTCGCGTGTTTCTAACCCCAATCGGCGTGTCGTGTTGGGGCCCATGTTTCACGATGATTTGGATTTTTGGAGCTGGTTTGTGCAGCGAGGTCTGGCGTCGCGTGGCGGCCAGTTGTGTGCACCGATGTACAATGTGGTGCTTCGTCCTCCGGTAACGGCTGTGTTTGCCGATGCTTCCAAAACGGCGCTTGGAGCATACTGCTGTGTGCAAACTGGGTGTTATTTCCGGCGTGATCTGACGTGTGACGAGCAGTCCCGCTTTGTGGGGTCTAGCAAGTCTGTATCCGAGTGTGCCGATGTCAGTATCAATGTTCTTGAGCTACTCGGCATGGTCGCGGCGGCATGGGTGTTGATTGTGCAACAGCGTCATGTGCCGGTGTCGGCTGGTGACTGTATCCAGTTGCGGGGAGACAATGAAGCGAGTGTGGCCTGGATTGAGCGGTGTCGCGGAGGCAAGGAGCCGCGGTCAGGCGCGCTCATGCGGATGCTGGGGGCGATTGAAGTGTCTAGCGGATGGTTTTTCCAATCGTCCCATGTGCCTGGTGTGCTCAATTCGCTTGCTGATGGTAAATCTCGCTGGCCTGCCGCTGATGTGTACGACAACCTTTGTGCCGCTGCCCCCCATGTACGATGGCAGGAATTGGAGTTGAATCGAGCCGGGCAAGAGCTCTGCCGTGCTGGGGCCAGCCTCGTCCACCAGTCACTTGCGCGAACGTCTGAACGAACTTACCTGGGCCTTTTTGGANGATGGTTTTTCCAATCGTCCCATGTGCCTGGTGTGCTCAATTCGCTTGCTGATGGTAAATCTCGCTGGCCTGCCGCTGATGTGTACGACAACCTTTGTGCCGCTGCCCCCCATGTACGATGGCAGGAATTGGAGTTGAATCGAGCCGGGCAAGAGCTCTGCCGTGCTGGGGCCAGCCTCGTCCACCAGTCACTTGCGCGAACGTCTGAACGAACTTACCTGGGCCTTTTTGGAGGCTGGGTGAAATATCGTGTGATCGTGGTGCACCGGCCGGTTTTTTTATTGCTGCCGAGGCTGTTCCGCGTGATGTCGTTGCTCAATTGCTTGAGTACGTCGCGTATTGTTTTTCCGTTTTGGGTCTACAACAATCGACGATCGCTAGTCATTTGTCCGCTTAAGTTCTTCCATCGTGTGTCGGGTGAAGGGGAGCTTGATACGCAGCATCCGCTGGTGCGTTGTGCTTTAGGTGGGGCGGCGCGGGGGCATGCCGACGTGGGCACACAGCAGCGGTTGCGACGGCCGGTGTCTTGGGCGATGTTGCAACGGGGGAGTTCGCTGGTATCGCAATGGGGGGTAGGCGGGCGCGTTTTTTTTCTTGCGCTGAGTGCTTCTCTCTTCTTCCTGACGCGAGCATCCGGAATGTTTGCGGTGTCGAAATTGTCTGTGCATGAGGTTCATGGATTGCGTCGGGGGGACGTAGCGTTTTTTCGGGGGTTGGTCCAGCTGTTGCAGTCGGCGCAGTGGCCATTGGCCGATCGCGTGGAGGTACGTTTTCGTTCGTCGAAAGGGGACCAGTTTCGGAAGGGGGCGGTTTGCACGCGCACACGGCAAGGTCCGTGCTGTGGGGTTGACCGAGGGGGTGGTGCAGTGGATGTCATGGTGGAGCTGCTTTCTCTGTATACCTTTTTGCCTTCGCATGCGCCTCTCGTGGCTTTCGGTGTTGGTCAGGGTCAGTGGGCCATTTGGACTAAGTGTCAAGCTACTGTGTGTGGCTCTTCGCCAAGTGGTTGCGTTGGCGGGTTTGCAGCCCGAGGAGTACGCGCTGCACTCCCTGAGAATTGGGGGCGCAACTTTCTTGGCGGCGGGGGGTGCTTCGCCGGAGGTTCTTCGAAGGGAAGGGCGTTGGTCGGGGCAGAGTAGATACCAGTGTTACGTTCGGAATGTTGGGGGTGACGCTTCGTGGGTGTCAGAGGTGTTGGCGAACAAGGAGAAGGTGACTACACAGCCAGGGTAGGGTACCCGATGGGGTGACGTGTGAAGGGCTTCCGTGGCACGTTGTGTATGTCGAGATCCTTGTTGTACCGATGGTATTTTGCTGTACATATTGTAGGTTGTACATATCGTATGTTTTATATATATATTGTATGTGGTATATGTTGTGCATGGTTTGCCAAAATAAAAGGGG